GGGAAAGAGAGCGGGCAGTGGGGCAGGGTCCTGGCCTGGCCCAAGGGCTAAGGACTCAGCGGCCAGGTGCAGCCTGGGCATACCTGGCGCAGCTCCTGCTCCAGCTCCAGGGCCCGCAGCACGATGGGGCCCCGCACCGCGTACTCCACCCTCCGCACGCAGGGGTTCATGGTGTCCAGCGTCAGCACCTTCTGCAGCCCGTTCCCCGCACCCTGGCTCTGCTCACCTGCCCTCCAGGCCATGACTACCCACACAGGCAGGCGGCTCAGGGGGCAGAACCTAGGCTGGGTGTGGGACACCTGTGTCCAGGCTGGGAGGGGCAGCCTGGGCAGGGGCTCAAAGCAAGAGGGCAGGCACCCTCTCCACTGCTGCCTGCCAGCCCCACCGGATGGGACAGAAGGGGCTGAAGGAGCCCTGCGGCTGGGCCGGCCCCACCCTCTGGGCACAGCTCTGCCCCAGGGAGCCAGAAGCAGTGGGTGAGGTGGTGGGCGGAGCTTGAGCGCCGCCCAGTGCCCGCCCAGTGTCCCCATGACGGGACCGAGAGTCCCACACGGGGGCAGGGACAGCCATGGTTCAGGTAGCTCTGGGAGTGGGCTGGGGACTCCCAAGATGAGAGTGGAGCCTGGGGGCCTGGAGTTTTACTCCAGCAGGCCTCCCCAGGGGCCTGACCCTCCCGACCCATCGCCTAGGCAACTGAGCCCTGCCTCAGGAGTCCTGGGGGGCCTGGGGAGGGGAGTGAGGCCCTCGGACTCTAGGCTCCCTCTTGCCCCTCCTAGGCTGGCAGCTCTGGCCTGCGTGTGAACCTTGGTCCCTGACCAGCAAGGCAGTGGGCTGAGGTGGCCAGCCTTGGCCCCAGGACACTTCACACCTCAGTCTCTGGGCCACCGTCCTGCCCTTTCACCAAGCAGCAGCCGGGGTTGCCCTTGGGGACACGCCTGGGCCAGTGGTGACCTAAGCTCCCCTGCCCTCTGCTCCCGATTGGTGGAGATGGTAGGAAGTGAGCCCTGATAGGCCCTCGGAGCCCCACCTCCAAAGGCCTAAGGAGCCCACAGGTCCCCCCAGCGTACCGTGGCCAGGCCAACAGGGACAACCCTGAACCCAGGGCTGTGCTGCAGCAACTGGTCAGGCCCCAGGAGACTGGGCTCCCTGCTCCCGGTGGCTGGCAGTGGCCTCCAGGCACTCCGGGCACCAGCCCCATCTGCCTTCACCTCACCTTGCCCTGTCTGTTCCACAGGTCTCCCCGAGTTCAGGCCGTCCCCTCTGACCCATCAGCTGGAGCGCAGGTTAATATGGGCCAGGCCCCAGGCAGGGCCAGCCCCTGCCCGCCCCCTGGCAGCAGGGACCAAGAAGCAGTGTGGGGGCAGGTGGACCTGAAGCAGCTGCACACCCTGCACACTAAATTTAGCCACTGCCAGCCCCTGGCCCTCCCCCTGCCCTGCTAACGCTTGGGGAAAGACAGGCCCACGGGGCCCAGCACTGGTGGTCGTGCAGAGCTGCCCATCGCAGATAGGTGCCCTCAGCCCTCCTGCCTGAGGCCCCTAAAGGGCCCCTTCATCCTGGCGGGCCCTGCCAGCCAGCTCAGCTGAGTGGCCAGCTGCTTGTCCATGATGCCAGCCCTGTGGAAGCTGGCAGCTGGGCCCCAGGGCAGGGCTAGATGCCCGGAACTAGGACCCCTCCCCCCCGGGGAAGTGTCTGATGCCAGCCTGGTGCCCATTCTGCCCCTCTGGCCCTGGCCCAAGAGTCTTTTAGAAAACACTCTCTCCCAGTCCAGGCTTGGGTCTCTGGCCCTCTGGCAGGGACACCCCTGGCTCTGGTCTCCAAGGGCCTCCTTGTGAAGCACCCCCAGGGAAAGCAGAGAGGTGGCCCTGGGGTAGAGGGAAGACAGCCTTCCTGCCCAGAGGCCAGGGCATCTCTCCCATACTCTGGCTCCCTTCCTCGGGCTGCCACAGGCAGGTCACCTACAGACCTTAGGTGCCTGTCGGGTGGGGATGGTGGCCTGGCTGAGACACACATTGAGGCTGGTGGCAAAACTGCCTTTTATCAAGAGTCCAGGGATAACAAGTCTACAGTGGGGAGCTCCAGGTGCGGCTCGTGCCACCGTCCACCCCTGAGAGCAGTCAGTGCCCTGCCCCAGCAGCACCGCAGTGGCTGTCTGCAGGACCTCACATGAGCCCGCAGCAAGGCCTCTTCTCCCCGGGGGCCTCCTCCAGCGGGGCGCTGAGCCTGAGCAGGGGCGGGTCTCCACCGGATAGCCCACAGTCTGGCGGGAGGCTGGCGGACTCAACAGGCAGGCCGGCCCCGTGGGCCTTGGGCTCCACTGGCGCCAGTGCGGGCTCCTCCGTGTGTGCGGCTGCTGGCGGTCGCTTCAGCTCGGCCAGGCTGTGGTGGGCCCGGCCGTGGCCCAGGGCTTCGGGGCCGGCGCTGTCCAGGGGACTCAGCTGGTAGGAAACGCTGCGGTCCAGCCGCCGGGAGTACAGGTGCCGCCCCGGGGGCCCTCCGGCGCGGCCATTGTGGGGCCCCGCGGCGTCGGGGCTGTCCTGTGGGCAGAGCAGGGAGGTCAGGAGGCCGCAAGGGCGGCCGGCTGTGGTCGTGGGCAGGGCCCTCGCTGGGGCCCTGGGCCTGCGGCCTCCACCCGCCCTGCTGTGGAGGCAGGGGTGGGAGCTGGCCCAGGAGGGCGGAGGGCCGAGGGCCGGCGCTCACCTCCACCTCGGGGGGCGGCCTGAGCTCCGCGCCCGCCCGCCCATCCTCGTCGGCGGGCTCCCGGCCC